TATAGTAATAACGTTATTGATTGAAAAACGAGAAACTCTTGTATGGTGTGACTATCAAACTTAAAGTAAGCATACTGTATGAAATTAACGCTCTACCTTTGTTTTGTGATTTTATAGGGTGTACACGAGCAATTTATTTTATTTTTGATGAGGAAATTGGCCGCAATATTATCTTGTAAAATTAGGATGATTTTTAAGTCCATTAGCCTAAAGAATTTACCGCCGATCTCTGGTTTGTTAAATGGTTTAAAAATTAACTGTCACTAGTATAATTAGGGTTATTTTTATGTAACGTATAAAGGTTAAACTGTTGTTGTAGTTTAAAATTATAAGTATTGAAGTACACGTTGAATTTTAAGGATATTTTTGTATGATAAATATTTAAATTCTCGTGTTTTTAATTATATCAAAAAATGTAAAAGTGAATAATTGATTAATTTACTCAAAACTACGTACATATAAATATATTTGTATAAATGTTTCTTTTCTTAGATTCTCAAGCATCTTGGTTATTATTTTAAGCCTAATTTGTGAATTGTTTTATAATATTAACATAATATAGTTATCAGTTTCTTTCATGAAATTTAAATATATGAAGCAATACTGTGGTACTTTGTCACTGTCACTCATTGGATGGGTGACCGCTTGTTTGTAAAATAACTTAAGCTACCGAAGTAAAATAACTTATAAAAGTCGTTAAGCAATTCATTACAAATATTATGTATAGGGAAAATATTAATTAAATTACAGTTTACGGAAAAAACGGCTTTAAAGCAACTGCATAAGATTCAAAATCGTTTAAATCAAACAAAGGCTGTGACTCCAGATGATAAATACGTGGATATGTGCAAGGGAAATTCAACTTTATTTTATATGGAATAAGCGGCATTTTGATTCAACAGTATGTGGTGACGTCACAGAAAATGTGATGACGTCATGCCTTTTTGAGGTCAACATCTCCATTTTCGGTACGTGCTTATAAGAAGATTTATAATAATTATTGGAGTTTATGTATAAAGAAAGTGGGTATTACCGAATGTAGTATAGTAATACTATTGAAATATTTCTTTTTCGTGGAAAATTACGGCAAGGAAATCAATAAAATTATTTGCTGCCCACATGAAACCAAATACAGCAAGAAATGTTTCTGAATTTGGTACGGACAAAGTTAAGATGGTATGTATTTTTGAATGAATTTGTAATCTTATAATCTACAAGTTTTTGCCTGTGACATCTCCTGCATGAATTTAGGAATTGGCTCACATATTAATCTACAAATGATATCAAAACAATATAGTTGTATAACCAACCTTCTCCATGAGAGAAGAGGTATTTGCTCAGCAGTGGGCTCTGATAGACTGATGACAAACCAACAGTGGCATCTGTAGTTTGTTTTAAGTTTATAGACACTACAACTGTTATGGCGAAATAAATTAATGACTATATCCTACTCTGAGATCTGAACTACGTAACTGTAAATTTTCATCACAATCTGTTAAGTAGTTTTTGTGTTAAAGGCTAACATACATATATACATCCATACCTCAATACTCATAGGATCAAAATATACCTACATATTATTGAATATATGAAATTGTTCTTTATATTCTACTTCGTAATAAAGGTAAAGACGAGAAAAATAATAAAATAGATATATAATTTCGAGTGTCCCTAGAACTTTAATAAGAATTTCTCATCACGGAAGCAACTTACGAAGTTGAATTTTATCAAACAAAACTAAGAAACCAAAAAGAATAGTTTCTTTCCCTAACTATCCTTAGTCCAAAAATAATTTCTTAACATTCAACTATGTAAATGTAGCTATCAAACAAGTTGTCAGGTTTTTCCTTCATGTCAAAAAACCACAAACATTAAGCGCAGGTCAGGAAAATAAAACCCACGAGGGGTTTAAGCCGTAATTGTCACTCGTGTCTTAGTTAATGATCCACAAAATAAGGATTTATCAATGACAATATATCGTCTGCATTCTCGACTTTATTCTTTAGACAATAAAGTTGAGAGGTTATCCTCTAGTCTCTACACTAATCTTATACCTGACAATTTCCCAGCTATAGCCAGGGTCTGCTTTACATGTTGTGAATAGTTTTTGGCTATTTGTTTCTATGCCCGGCCGCCTGCCTAACATCAACCCTATATGGGAATCAGCATTACAATCAGTGATGTCTAAAAATACTCTTAGAAAGTACATATGACTCAGAAAAATCACATTGGTACTTGCCCGGGCCAGGATCGAACCCGCGCCCACATGCGAGAGAGGCAGGCTTTTAACCACTAGCCCTTACACTAAATTCATTAATATATAACCTAATATATGTACTTTAAACAATCTATTTCTTGATTTATATAATTTTAAAACTTTCTATGATAATGTAGATAAATGCATATCACTAAAGTAAGGCATTATTATGTATAAGTAATCCATTATTCCCAAAGAGGGTTGATGTCAGGCAGGCGGCCGATCGTAAAAACAATTAGCCAAAACTATTCAAAACATGTAAGGCAGACCCTGGCTAAAGCTGGGATATTGCCATGTAGAAGATTAAAGTAAGGTAATATATATTTATAAACTCTAACTAGCAGTTTAACTGAAGCAGAAAAAATAAATAAAAATATATTTTTCAGTGTTTTATTCATGACTGCTCAATAAAACTCTGAATGAAATGAAAAATGGAAAAACTGACGAGAGCTATTTCATTTAAAATATTGAAGCAAAAATATTCAAACGAAAAAGGTCAATTAGTAAAAGCGATGAGAGTTTGGCTCGTGGTTTTTCTGTTAAATATTTTTATTCATATTAAAATATTGCGTATAGATTTATATATGTGCCAACGCCGTTTAAAAGTTTATTATATGTATAATAATTCTGATGCAAATAAAATCCCTACTTCCCTACTAATATTATAAACAAAATCTTTACCTATCTTAAGAACTATGGTTATCTTGCTAATCTTAAAACAGTTGCTCAGAACAATTTAGTTTAGTAAAATTCGTCAGTCTTAGGCGCAGGAATTGAAACTCAAAATATAAGATTAATAATTACAGTAAATAATATTATTATGAAGACCAAGATACATCAAGAATTAAGGTAGAACTCAACAAAATTATGAGATCTAACAATTTTACGAGGTATACTAATATAGTCTCATTTAAATCAGTATCAGTATTTTAACGACATTTCGGATATACTACGCGAATTTATTTCTGTAAATAACTACAACATGATCACGGTTGGTGAAAAGAAGCCGAAACGTCGGGAGTATGTAGTTTTTATCATAAATAAAGTCTCGTAGTATACCCTAAAGATATTAGTTTCATTTAAATGATTCAACAAAATTCATTAGTTTATGTAAAACACTGATCTATCTATTTTATTCTTACTACTACATACTACTACAAAAAATATAAATTTAGTCAAATCAACATTTTTCACGTTAAATTACATTTAATAGCACTATATTTTATCTAAGAGGGAGTCACTAACTGCTTTTAACATTTTATTGAGAGTAATCTTCAATAACTCAAATATACATATTCGTTTCATCAAATTTGCAGTGTTTTGATAACATTACAGAGATATTGAAAACATACATTTCCTTAGTTTACGTCATATCTAAGATAGATCTGTATATATATTTTATTTGACACACAGACCGAAGGAATAGTCTATAGTTACATAATCATCATCATCATCAGCCTATCAGAGAACACTACTGAGCAAAGGCTTCTTTTCACATGGAGAGGGTTTGAGCATTAATCACCACGCTTCCTCTAGAAGAGTTGGTGATTTCAAACTTATAATTTGAAATTATAAGTCCATGTTTCCTCACGATGTTATCCTTCACCGTCTGTCAGTGGAGTCAAATACTCTTAGAAAGTACGTATGAATTGGAAAAATCACATTGGTACTTGCCAGGTTTCGAATACTCCCGTCATGCACGAGAGGCGGGCCTTTAACCACTAGGCCATCACGACATAATATATAAGAAAGAATATCTGTAATTCTGTAATTTTCAAAAGAAATCTTATCTTTCCAGTCATTTGGTTAAAGCGTGTCATATATTTCAACTTTGACATTTTCCACTCCCCGATCCCAGTTGAAAACCATTTACATACAGAGGTCGTACGTATTAAACTTTTGATATTCGTTCCACTGGAAAATTTTTAACTCGAATGAGAAAACTTTAACGGGAAAATTCCGTTGCTTTAACCGATTTGATAATGAACATTTTTAATTGAAAATTAAAGTAGCTTGAAAAGCTAATTGCATTTTAACACACCAATACTCATTAATTAAAAAGTTAAATAAGTAATTATTGTAGTGTATTTTTTGTCATATTTTCCACCTTCAAATTATTTACATTATATTGTTTTAAAGGTTACGTACGCGCTACATATGAAGAAAAGAAAATAGTCATCGCCGGGGCGACATCGTTGTATGTATAAAATATACGAGTGACGCTGCTGACTCCGCGGAACGAACACCAAGCCGTGTGAACCAGAAGATTCCTGATACACACAAGCTATGGAATGGTATTGCTATCCTAACATCGGGGCAATCATGTAGTCTTAGGTGTAGGTTATAAGTTTTAATATGTAATTCTTATTTTAATACACATATAAGTAAGTTTCGTATTTTCCTGGAACCTCAGGTTGCCACGCTATATAATTAGGTTTTACTTATAGAAATTTCAATGTCTTAGAATTAATTAATATCAGTTATCTTTTGTTTCTCCTTTGTTTACTGTATTTGATTATTAACGTTATATAAAAAATCAATGTTTTCAATTACATTATTGTACTCGTACGTATAAACTTAATACGATATATTCCAAGCAATTTAATATAAAGGCTTACTCAATTACATGATGTTACGCGTTTCAGAACAGTAGGCTGTCTACAAACAAGACGTTTTTTTGGTAATATTTAATAGATATATAAATATAAATAGATATATTTTAAATATGTTATATATTACTCACCCCGTCCGGACTTTGTTTTTTAGTTTCGCAAAATTCGTTGAGGACATCTTGAAGTTTCCTCGTTGAATCTGCAAAAAAAACATCGTTTAATTAGTCATTTATTTAAACTTTTATATGTATTATCATCAGCCTATCAGAGCCCACTGCTGAGCAAAGGCGTCCACTCACATGGAGAAGGTTTGAGCATTAATCATCACGCTTGCTCAAGACGGGTTGGCGATATCAATCTTATAATTTGAAATTATAAGTCCATGTTTCTTTTCGAATTTTTCCTTCACCGTCTGTCAGTGGAGTCAAATAATCTTAGAAAGTACCTACGTATTACTAGGAAAAATCACATTGGTATTTGCCATATATCAAACCCGCGCCTACCCAGATATCAAACTTTTAAACAGGCTTTAAATAAAATCGTCGGTCTGTCATCAGCCTTTTAATAATTGGAAAAAACTTTTAACCTATCCCACAGAAGGAGCTGCGTTAGTAAATTATATCTCTGGGGCGTTGTTGGAAATAAGAGTGCGTGAGTTGGTGTTGGATTTCATGGACATTACGACATAAACTATAGTTTATAGATTTATTATTAATTAGTATAATAAATACAATTAGTGAACTACTTTATCTTCTTCTTCTACCTGGCAATTTCCCAGCTTTAAGCCAGGGTCTGCCTTCATGTTGTGAATAGTTTTGGCTAATTGTTTATACGACCGGCCGCCTGCCTGATATCAACCCTCTTTGGGAATGCATTAATCAGTGATGTCTAAATACTCTTATAAAGTACATATAACTCGGAAAAATCACATTGATACTTGCAGGATCGAACCCGCGCCCTCGTTCATGACAGGCGGGCCTTTTAACCACCAGGTCACCACTGACTTTTAACTAAAGAAATGACTTAAAGCAACTAATTTGTCAGAATGATTTAGTTATAGTAAATGTGCTTTTAGTTGTACATTTAACATTTTATCTTTTGATGATTAAAATATAAGATATCATATATATGTTCATTTTTTATACATCTATATTTTATATTATATTAGTAGTGTTAAAATAGAAGTAAATAGGATCTGGGAAGAGAAGACAGAAGTAGGTGACAGAGAGAAATGGTTTTAGCATCATACTTAAAGACATATGAATACTTACAAGACGTGAGCTCCTGCAACTGCTGGAACTCAGCCGGTGATAGTTTATCCCATTGGAAACCGCTGCCCGTTGTGTTCGGCATGGCCTGTAAATAAATATATGTTAGTTTATCATTACTTAATATTAATTGCTTAAATGGTCATTAAATTTTTGATAGTATGCCTATATTTCAAACACAAAGGGTTGTATAGTGCGTTTGATTTAAGCTGAGCTTTTGCATTTGTGTAAGTGCACAAGGATAGTGTAGGTGTGAGTTCAAATTTTTGAATACCACGTGCTTTTCTAGTTTTGAACCAGTTGATACTGCTTTTACTTCGCCCGCACCTTCCTTTACTTCACTCTTTGTACTGATAGCAACATCAAGTGTTGAAAACGCATGTTAAGTGAAGAAGAAATTTTAATGTTTCTTCAAAATTTTTATTGCATAATATTTTTTTCCATAATATTTTTATTTGGCCTTTTACAAGTCATATTTATTTTATTTTTAACCTAGAATAGCTCTAGCACTTATGTATCTATTTAAATATAATAGTATTGAATTGTAAAAGTTTTTGGTGTAATTCTACTTTTACTTTCACTCACACAAATGCAAAGCTCAGCTTAAGTCTAACGGACTATATATTATTATTAATTGTCAAAAGTTTAACACGTAATTTCTATCTATTTAAAACAAACATATGACATATATTTTAAATTGTAATATTTATATTTTACTTATATAACTAAATATTATCCAATAAATATTATTATCAAAAGTAGAGAGGGTGGTACTTCGCCGGTCGAGACAGCACATAATCAAGCTGTAGTGACTGACCACAACGAGTATTACTGTTATATGAAATAATTGCCTATATATATATATATATATATATATATATATATATATATATATATATATATATATATATATATATATACATGGTGCATATACTAAAATTATATAAGTTAACTTTTAATCTATCTGTTTGTTCCATTTAAAAAGACGAAAGCGATTGTCATGAAATCTTTTCAGACAGATAGTTAATATAATATGGAGTGGCTTGAGATACTTATATTAAAAAAATACTTATTTTTTTAATATAAATAATAAAAACAAACTTCTTAATAATGTAATATCTCTTCTGAGTAGACGAAGTCGCGTTAATAGCAATAGTATACGTGAATTTTTCGCTCAATTTAAGTTTAACCAAACATAAATCTAATGTTTAAGGTTTTTCCTTCAAAAACAAGGAAAACTCGAGTCAGGAAGTTACTGTAGCCTCTAAGGCTTTATATAAAGGTCCAAAAACACCGGAAGGGTGTTACAGGCTCTTATTTAGGGAGGCAATATCTTGAAAGGACCGTAAATATACCGAGGGGCAATTAAAGTCAATAAGACGGCCTCGGAACATATTTTACTATTAACTCTTGAAAGACTTACATCTATATCAATGTTGTGAAGTATTTGGTTTGGATATAAAATTTTAAATTACTTCTTTTTCCTGGCAATTTCCCAGCTTTAGCCAGGGTCTGCCGAACTGACAATTTTCCGGCCATAGCCAGGGTCTGCCTTACGTGTTGTGAATAGTTTTGGCTAATTGTTTTTTACGACCGGCCGCCTGCCTGTTATCCCCCTATTGGGAATCAGCATTAATCATTTTAAATCAGCATTTTAAATTACTTATTATATAATATTATTCTCATGCTATATTGTGACCATTTTATTGTAAATATATATAATATATATAAATCTTTGTCTTTAAATGACTTGAATAGAGTTTCAGTGATGTCTAACGAAAAAATTTCAATTTTAAACATAATAATTCTTTTAGTTATGTTATTCATCAGTTATTCATTGATAAAATTATAGCAATACTAAACAAATTTTGATTGAATTTGGATAAATAAAATTGTAAAAAAATCATATATATGCTACTTTTATTATTATATTTCAATGCGTACGTTTAAAGCCTTTTTGCCTATAATTAAATTTTAACTTTCCCCATACAAAAAAATCTGAAGCCACATAAAGTAAAAAAGCAGTTTTTTATATTCCCACAAATAAATTAATTAAATTTGAAGTTTGTGTATAAATAATGTAAGTTGATGAAAAATAATGGGGAGGATATTTGTTTTGTGTGTTCAATAATTTGGTTAATATTATATTTGGACCTATAAGGATTGTATGAAAAACAACATGAATATATGACAATATACTGTATAACAAATACATTATGTAATATTATTATACATTGTTATGTAACAAATTCATTCATTCATTCATTTGTTCATTTATGTCCCAAAAATATTAATAATTACAACATTATAAAAGAAATTTGATGCACAAAATATAAATCACCACTTAATAGAAATTTCTACCAGAAACGCGTAGTAAAAATATAGTGTTTCAAAACTCAACAGATTTCATTTACGCGTTTGATATTAAATATCGTTTGTGTCCTGGTAAATACTTAAGTAATCAAACTGGTTAAAATATATTTTCTTTCTATTATTTTTATAGTTAGCGTAAATCTTATAGTGTGACCAATATTAGCTTTAACGAAGATGGAGTGCATTGATTTTAAATAATAGTAGAAGTTCATAAATTAATCATGTTGGAATTATTGAAGTCGTTTAGAAAAATAATATTTTACAGGTGTTTAGGATATTGAAAATACAAGGATTCTTTTACAATTGATATGTGACATGAGACTAAACCTCTCATCATTCCGTGTATTCAATATAATATAATCATATATAGTCAGTGGTGGCCTAGTGGTTAAAGGGTCCGCCTCTCGTTGCCGAAGGCGCGGGATCAAACCTGGCAAGTACCAATGTGATTTTTCGGAGTCATATGTACTTTCTGAGAGTATTTTAGACACCACTGACATACGGTGAAGGAAAACATCGTGAGGAAACCTGGACTTATAGTTTCACAATTATAAGTTTGAAATCACCATCCATCTTGAGCAAGCGTGGTGATTAATGCTCAAACCTTCTCCATGTGAGAAGAGGCCTTTGCTCAGCAGTGGGCGCTGATAGGCTGATGACGAATATAATATAATACTTGGAATTGTTTTTATAAGTGATTATAATGAATTATAATACTGAACCATTGTTATTTTGTATGCAACATGAGTGTCAACTTGTGTTTGAAAACTATAAGTACTGGCTTCAGACATTTTGTAGGATGACTGGAAGTAACGCTAAACATTAAAAATCAAGTGTGAAACTGTACCTCGAACATCTTTTAATAATTATAAGAATTAAGGAAAGTATTTTCCTTTTCACTGTGAAGAATTTATAATACTTATTTTATTATGTAATTTTATAATTGGAGGCAAAATAAAATACAAAAAATATATATAAATAAACATAGTTCAAACTCAAAGGTTCGTCAATAAGAATAAAGGCAGATGGCTGTTTTATATTTTTTTTTCAAAGAATTAAAAAATATATGGACTTAAATAAAAAAGGAGTAAATTAGGTCACATATAAGTCTTCGTTATTACCGCTTCCTTAGCCTGAAATCTCTGGCTATTTCTCATCATCAGAACCATTTAATTGTATGCCATTTCAAAATTTCATATCAACAGGATCCGTATTTACTTTATAACCGTTTATTAATTCATTAATAATTGTTTGAAACTTTCCCTTTGATGTTAACTCTTATTTGCTGGCTGACGACACTTGGAGACATCGACTTTCAAACGAGCGGTTCTTGGCAGTTCCTCAATAATATTTCAAAGCAAACTCATACGTCGTTTAATTAATAAAGTTTGGTATTTACATCAAATTGTGACTTATACTTACTTATACTTTGTTACGGTCAGTTTAAAGGTTTTCAGGACAATTTCAGATGATAGTAGTAATAGCTTTGTAAGTCAGTGGTGGCCTAGTGGTTAAAAAGCCGCCTCTCATACACGAATGCGCGGGTTCGATCCTGGGCCGGGTAAGTACCAATTTGATTTTTCCGGGTCATATGTACTTTTTGAGAGTATTTAGACATCACCGATTAATGCATTCCCAAAGAGGGTTGATGTCAGGCAGGCGGCCGGTCGTAAAACAATTAGCCAAAACTATTCACATCATGTAAAGCAGACCCTGGCTAAAGCTGGGAAATTGCCAGGAAGAAGAAGAAGTAGTAATAGCTTTGTAGAGTACATGTAAGTTTAGTTCATACTCAGGAATACTTCAAAAGAAATGCAAGAAGCTCTAATAGCTTTATCTTAATCTACAGTATTTCTTCTGCCTTAAACAGCCTTTTACTCATTATTAACTTAACCAATAATATAATCCGTAAAATGTTAATTCATTCAAAACAACCAAATTAAGATAATAGAGAGTTATTTGTGGTTTTTAATTAAATGGACACTAAACTGTAATTATTTATAACAGTCATGACATCCCAATGACGGGATGGGTCAGAGTTTTAATTAAATATTCATGTAATTAATTAGTATTATATGAATAATTAATATATTATATACAATGCTTCCTATTATTTGAAACAAAGTAGAAGTTTTAATTTGTAAGACTTTTGTCAATTTTGGGCTTATAATAATTAAATTCAAATCATTATACGGAATGAAAAATTTATCTTCATGACCAGGATAGGTATACTATTCTCCGGTTGCTACTTTATACTATTACTATACTGTATACTATTCACAACATGTAAGGCAGACCCTGGCTATAGCTGGGAAATTGTCAGGAAAAAGTTAATACAAAGCTACTAACACGCGTCATTCCAAAGATCACAGATTCAATTTCAACTGTCAATGTAGAAAATATTAGAATGTAAACAATATTTTAGAAACCAGTAGTAAAAAGAGTATATAGCACCAGATTTATATATTTGTCAAGTATAATCAAAAGAGTTGAATATATAATCAATGTATCATTCAATAAACTTTATTAAATTACTTACAAAATTGTTTTGTTTGTTAAATATTTAGAGTTTATTCAAACGCTATCCGGATGTTATGATATCTCTTGGTTGCTTTCAAATATAAGTTCTATTTATTTTCTACTAGTTTTTACCCACGATTTTGTTCGCGTTAATTTCGGAATTAGTAATATATGTATAGCTGACCGGGCGAT